TCAATCTCCTAATGGCTGCACCTCTATGCTCTGTAACTTCTTAACATCTCCTTTACATTCCGTGCATGGCTCAGTTTTCATTCTGGAGGGCAAGGATTCCAGGCCATCTTTGCATAGTTTTACCCAATATTTCAGAAATGTAGCATCAAGAGAAATGCATCTGTCATGACATCAACACATTTTTGACCTGCTATTTAATTTTTAAATATAGGACATTGTAAAAGTTGTTTTTATCACTTGAGAGTAAAATATTTAACCTCTTTATGTAATACAGAGATTCCCCCAAAGCATGGTTTCCGAGGTAGTAAGATGGTAATAATGCGCAGCCCACCAGAGTATGTCTTGTCCACCAAAAAAGAGCTGGAAAAATAAAGAGCTGCTAATTCCACTATGCTGCCTGTGGCCTGCTTGCACTGCGGCGTTATCCATGGGCGACTCTAGCTGCGGGCGTGGACTCTCATAGGGAAAGAACATGCGGGGGGAATCAGTCTCATGGACTGTATGCTGAAAAATACCCATATTAGCCTGCCTGGGGACAGAGCTGCGTTTGTTTATGTTTGGTTGTGTATATGCGAGGGTCTCTCCATGTCCAGAGTCTCATTTGGCTGCTTTAAATATTTGTGGTGTGCCCTGACACAACCCACATGTTTTCCTTCACCCGTGATAAGAACGTTCGTTATGATGCTCTGCTCTTCCGCGCCCTAACTTCACAAGAATCGGCGCAGTTCTTGGGAAAAGGGGTGTGAAGGAGCCCCGGAGGCCTTTGTAAGTGACTGTACCGGATATAGCCCAAACTACTTTCAAACAGTGGGGGGAACTGCATTTCTTCGTAAGAATAGGAATAACAAAAATCCTAAATGTTTTTGATAGATAATAAAATATATTACTAATAGATAACTTACAAATATATAACTAATAGTAACTTACACTTAGGACTCCAGCCCCTTTTATGGTTATGATATAATGAGATAATGTGTGCTAATTGGTTTGCACCCAGTATATTAAGTGTTCAATAAATGTTAGTTTATTTTCAGTCACACATTTATTAGGAGTAATAAAAATTGTGGTGATATTGTGCAGCAGCTCCATTTACAATCTAAATTGCATCATATATTTCTTGATTTATAGATAATGTATTTTAATTGTAATTTAATGCAGCTGGAAGGATTTGGTTTTGAATGTCTTCTGCCTCTTTTTGAAAACATAATTAACCATTGCTAATTTTTAATTTAAAATCTCCATAGTGATCTCTCTATGTTTTCCTATAGTTCCAAGTGTTGCTTTTTAAATGCGTTGGGATTTCCATGGACTCTTGTGTTCCAAAACCAAAGAACTACGGAGGCTGATTTGATGACCTTCGCTCTAGAGACTTGATAGTCCTGCTCTCCCCCCAGCGCCAGTCTGTCTGAGATGCCTTCTGTTACTCTGACTCTCTTTTGGGTTAAAGGAGTTTTTTTCATTTTCCCCCTGAAGCATCCCTAGTACCAGAGAGAGAAAAACTATGCATTCCCATGAGGTTGCTGGTGCACTGAAGCATTGGCTTGACATTTCTTCCAGGTTGAGTTTTCAGTGATCAAATTGTACATTCATTTTACTTTCCAGGCCATGACAATCCCAGACTTTAGTACCCAAGAGGTGTTTTAATTTATATCACACCAAGTAAAATTAATTTTCCTGGGTTTCTCTTCTCCCTCGCCCTCTCCCAGTTCTCTGTTTGAGAATTTTTGAGCATAGGCTTTAGAAGCGCCCTGTTACAGTACTCCTTAGATACATACTACCCACCAAGACTTATAAATGGCTTAGCTGATCTGAATGCCTAATGCAGCCTGTGGAAAATGATACACAGGAGCATGACGCTTTCAGGGAGGAGATACGGTGTAAGCTGGCTCCTGGGGGAGCTTGAGAAGAAGTGTGACAGAGCAGAGAGGGATGCTGGTGGGTCAGGGGAGGTCACTGCACAAAAAAATGGGAAAAGTCGGCCTCAGAAAAAAATGCCACAATGCTTCCTGTTAACAATAAACTTCACCTTCTCCACAGTTTTTCCTAGGATGAGTCTTTTCTGGTCCTGGTACCTTCATCAGGAGGAATAAGTTGATTCCTTGAACCATAAAATAGAAAGATGACTTCTATTTCTCCTATTTAAAAAAAATAGAAAACAAAATTTTTACCTGTTTCAGTGTAAATGCTCATAACTTAGCCTTTCATTTTGTTCTTCTTCTCTTAGCCAACAGCTTGATTCCTTCTGTTTCCGCCCGCACGGCTCAGCCAGGGCGAGCCGTCTCCTGGTTATCAGGAGGCGATGTGGTTGTGCTCTGCACTGGCACAAACTGTTTCCTCCGTTGGCCATTGTTTTCTGGAGAGACTGACTTCTATTTAGCAGAACTGGCACCATCTGGCATTTAGGCCTAGAAGCCACCTCTCAGGCTGATGAAATGGCATCCTTACTGACTAATTAGATATGTTTTATAACCTGCTGCAGGAGAAGGATGTGAGAGTGCTCTGCAATAACTAGTAACATCATGCTTGATATATTCGCGTGTTTCACTGTTTTCTTGTGATGAAGAGAGATACCAATTTTGCTTTTGTTAATGCTTTTAAAATTCTTGAGAAAAATTTCAAAGCTGAACGAAAAAAGAGCTCTTAAAAATAATACTCTCAAAACGCGTGTGTGTATAATCTCTTTATTAATACAGTTTGGATGTTTAAAGGAATCTTTCTATTTGTGCAAACGGTAGCAATATATACCTCTCTAAATAGACTGTTATAGATGCAATTAACACAAATTAGTAAAATTTACATTAAAATATGCACAGTACCAAGATATTTATTATAATAGAAGGCTATGTTAATTACTTCTCACATCACCTAAGAGCATAGTTTACTTGTGATTATTTAAATCACTAATAGCTTGTCAACATACTTTCTTTAAGCTTGAGAACTGTGAGGAAGGCAGAAGGATATTTTCATTTTTACAAAAAAGAAAATAGCCCAGGGAGAAACTGCTGGAGCTAAAAGCAAAACTGAGACATTCTGACTTCTGTTCTTGCCAGTGCCTTCCTGGTGTACTCTATCTTCTTGACTCGCTAGATCCCATCTCTAAGTTCAGTCATATTGTGACACAGGGGTAATGATTTTTTTATCTGTATTGTTTCCATGGGTAACAATGAATAGGAAGCTGCAAAGTGTTTTGTAGAGAGTGCACGGTTTGCCCAGAAGAGATGCTACATCATGTCGTGGTTAACTCTACAGACTCGGGAGCCAACTGCTGGACTCTCCTTAAACCGCAGCTCTACTTACCAGCTGTAGGGCTCTGGGGAAGGTCACCCCTCTGGGCCTCAGGGCTCTTTTTTCATTCATCAACTGAGGATAAGAAAAGTGCCAGTCTCATGGGAGACTGTGACACATGAGTGAATGAACATGTATGTGAAGCACAAAGGCGGAGGAGTGCCTGCTCTGAGTGACTGTAGATGCAGTTACTATTACGATAAGAATTGCACTTTTCAAAGTGAGTGTGACTTTGTTTTTCAGTGACCAGAGGGGACTCGCTCTATACACACTGTTAAGAACTGACTCCCCAAATTCTGCTGGTTGAGTGACAATTTTTCCCTTCGATAATCTATATCTGACAGAGTGTTTGTTCTCCAGAATTTCTCCTCAGTCTAAATTATAAACATGGTACGTGGAAGAGGGCACTGACCTGAGGCAGGAGGCCTGGACCTCAGTCCCTGCCTCGGTCAGCCACACAAGCGCATCAAGCTTGGCTCTTTTTCTCCTTGTGAGAAGGCTGGACTATGCACACCTTCCAGATCTGCTTCTAAAATCCCTTCCATGAATGAGGTGATTGGGTTGTTTACTTTAACAAAAATATTAGGCAAATCCCTACTTATTCATTCCTTTTAGTCAAAGGCTGTTAATCAAAGGATTTAACTATTATTATATAAGATAGAATTGACAAGTACCTATATAGATTTTGAGGAATGATATATTTTGAGGCATTTTAAAAAATATAAGCTTCCTTATATATCCTAAGGAAAAAGCACTCATCAAATTAAAGCAATAAGTGTATCATGGAGTACCTTGCATAAAATAGGAGCCACGTTTTCTCCGGGTGTCTGCTTTGTAGAGGAAGCCCCCAGCAATCTGTGTAACCCCCACAGCCGCCCACACTGTCCTTCACAGTGTCTGGGTCATACGCTCAGGCATTGTCCTGCGACTGGAGAGGACAGAGGGAGAAGGAGTCACTTTTCTCTTTTGTCTGTGCACTTTTGGAAACATGTTCCAGTTTTCCCACCCTTAGCTCTTCAGGCCCCTGGGCCAGCACCAAAGTGTGTGCATTTGGTCATTATGACAATAAACTAAAATAAGAAATAAAAATAATGGGAAAAGATATATCTTGGGCACTGATGTAACTGGTAGCTGATGATTTCCTCAGGATGATGGACAAAGACAGAGAGATATAGGTAACTAATAATTTATCAAAAGGCAGCTTGCAAGGATAACCCAGAAAACTGAAAATCAGCCAAGCTGAGGGTGCATAATTTACGTTACAGAAGATGTTTTGCTTGGCCAGCTCTTGTACACTGAGGGGCCGACTTCATTTTCAGTTCCTGAAGGCAGAGTTTCTTTCCCGTTTCCTGCCGAGGCCAGGCGGGAACGCGGGGCCTGGGTGGGCGTGCGCGGCAGCAGCCTGCGGAGTCTCCTGCCGGGGCGGTGGAAGGGCCCCTGTCCTTGGCACGCTCCCGGGATGGGCCCCTGGGGTTGTTCCTGAGCGCGGGAATCTCAAGGGGCTGCCGGCAGCCACGGAGCGGATAGGGAAGACTCAGGCTGACACACTGGGCTTAAAGAGCAAAGACCCTCAATAGCTGGGAAAGGACCGTGGGCTAGATCCTGGAAAACGTGAGTTCTCCGGTCTGTGTGTGTTTCCGCACTGAGCAATAGTCACTCAGGATATGCCTGGCCCATAACGTTCTTCTTTGGTGTATATTTCTGCCTGTTTGTAGGGCCAAGGAGATCTGTTGAAGAATGCAAAGAATGAAGCTATAGAAAACATGAAGCAGATCCAGCTGGCGTGCTTGTCTTGCGGACTTAGCAAAGCCCCCAGCAGCGGTGCCGAGGCCAAGGGCAAGCGCGGCCTGGAAGCCATAGAGGAGAAGGAGGGCGGCGAGGAGAACGGGAAGCTGTGACCGCGCAGGATCGGCGCCTTCACCCGTCCTTTCTGTCAAAGGCTCTGTTGTTTCCTTTCTGGTTTTTGTTCTTTAAGCTTTTTAGATGTTCACAAAAAGATGCCATCTGTCAGATGTTGGACATAAACAGATATTTTCACAAAATCAGTATTTTAATGCAGTTAATTTATCTAAGTTAAAATGTTTAGTAACCGTGTTTTAAATTCTGAGATGTGTGTACATACCCATGTATGGATGTGGGTGTAAATGTGCGTGTGTATGTGTGTGTGTGTGGGGGGGGGGGAGAGAGAGAGAGAGATTCTGTTAAAATCTATTCTATGTTGCATTACTCATTTAGTAAATTATTAATGTATCATTTTAGGAAAAATTTGTTAATCTAAAATTCTAAAGAGCATTCACTAGAACTTGTTGCTGTGTTTAGCTTTACTTCTCTACCTTTGTCATTTAATTCAGAGATGTTAATATAGTGTATTATCGAAGAAAGCCAAATTTACCAATGTATAGATATTTTGATAGAATAAATATAGATTAGAAAAATTTCTAATAATCACATTAGAAATAAACATGAATGACAGACAAATGACCAGAATTTCTGGAAGGATCAGAAAAGTCATTTCTTCAGTTAGTGAACTCTTTAAACTATTTATTAAATAAAATCAATTTCTAGAAAGTTTTATGCAGTTGTTTACTAAGCAGCTATGATTTCAGTGGAAAAGTTGATCTTTAGTGAATTTATACCCACCTATGTGGTACTCTAAAACACAGTAAGAGCTCTTTTGTAATTAGGATTTTGATGTGACAATATTATTTAGTTACATTTTAAGGTTGGGATTTGTAGGAAGATCTCATTCTTCCAAACTGGGAGTCTAGCATTCATTTTCTATAGTGGACATGAGCAACTAAGGGGTCTTGGCTTGATAGCATTTAATTTAGAGTAATAAATTTAAACTTAATGACATTGTTCAAACAATACCATATCATCATGTTGACCTGTTATAAATTCTGTGGGTCAGATAACATCTTCCTGATGATGTAAGAACTAATTGATTACAAAATGTCTATGATGTGATTTTAACACATGGAGAAAAACAAAAAAAGAAGCAAAAGGCTAATTAGGGTACATTTGTAATTGCATCTAGATCAGTTTTGCCCTAATATTTTCATAAAGTACTTGAGTGTAATATGTTTGTTACCTCCAAGAGAACTAAATGTTCTATGGTTATGAAAATATATTTATTTAAAACATTGCTTTTATTTTGAAAAGCTTCTTAATTAATTTGATTAACAAATACACTAATTTGGGGGAACCTAGGGAAGATAATTGTTGAAATTTTGCAAATATAAACATCTTCTATAGCTACTGTGTTAAGTTATTTCTGACTTCTTAACACTATTATGTTCATGCTGCACATTACTGAAAGAGTAAAGATGTGAAACAACACTTTTATTGTTCCCTTTTATTGTGAATTAATTGAAAAAAGGAATGATAATGAAAATTGGTTATTTTATAAGAAATATCTTAAAGGATATGATATGTCCATGGACCAGATACAGTGAAATTTCTCCTTGGATTCAACCGGGCACCTGGGGATGTACATGAGCTCATTTTGGTAGGTTTCCAAATGGTACTACAATAGCCTGAAAAAATTTCTTTCCCTTCCATCATACTTATCTGCATGGTAGAAGGAATAGTGGAATGCATGTATCTAAGTTCCTCATGATGAAAAAGCAGTGATATGGACAGAAACAAAGCCCACTGTACATCACCGTACGGTTGGTTTCACCTGTGGACCTCCTCACCTCCCTGAATTCAACGTGGAGAAATCCATGGCTTTGCTGGTGATACAGCAAAAAGAAGATAAAGGGTAGTAGCTCTCAGAAAATAGTCACTTCTTTACCTGAGGGTCAAATCTAATTTTAATTTATTCCATTTGTCCTGGAGCTCCACTCATACTTAGGACCGTCCCAAATATTTTTGAGAACATGAGATGGATTCCACCTCATCTAACGCTACTTCTGGCAGTGGGTTATCAGCCAGTCTCTGCTTGCTGCACTGGCGTGGTTTCTAGATAAGGAGTGAGGCCTGGGGCAGAGAGCAGCTTTAGAGGCTGGTGTGGAGTGAAGTACAATGGGGATGATCCCCATTATGGTCTTACCTCTGGATGGAATAGGAAGAGCAAACAAAATATTTTTCATTATTATGCTCTATGAGTTTCTATGTCCTTCCCAGACTTGAATTGCAGTAGAAAAAGCTCCCTTCTACACTTAGTTTTTGGTGATGCTAAGAAGGTAGAGTGGTAGATATTAATTCTATTCTTGTTTACTAATTTTTACATTACAAAGGGGATTTGAAGCAGAGATGGAAGGCATTATCACTGGCATTTTATAGATGAGAAAGCCCAAGGCCACTGACATAGTAAATGGAAAAGCTGACTTTGAATTCTGGTCTCTCTGGGTGTATGTGCAAGAATATTTATTTAGTAATATTGATTTTTAATTTAGTTCTCAAAATTTTAAATTAAACTATTAACTCTTTCCTTTATAATCATAGATAAAAAGAACTTTATCATGTTTTCTGATAAACAAATATTTATGATTAATATAAAAATGCAAAAACAGAAAAATGTGTAAGAAATAAAAATCACTCACTATTAACATTTAAATTTATATCCCTTCAAACTTTAAAATTTATACATACATGTAAATTATGCTTTCATTTTTAACAAAAGTGAGATCATTTTACATAAACTTTTGTAGTAGCCTTTTTACAATATAAATAACACATCATGTGTATCTATTCTACACACACATACATGTACTAGAGTTTTCACAAAAGATGTATTTTTTTTTGACCACTGAATCATTTTTTAAAATTCTTAAACAATGGATGCTTTTAGAAATCAAGAATTTTCACATAAAAATTCAATTTTCTACTTTTTAAATATATAGATTAGAAAAAAATTAGATTAGACTGTCTCTGAGTATTCTGACAATACCCTGCCACACAAATACACTTATTACTTGGCAGCAATTAATTGGAGCTGCCCTCCCAAAAGGGGCATGTGCTGTCTAGTTTGCCAAAGAGCCCCTTTACTCCTTTATGTTACATCCTGCCTCTGTGGATGTCTTACGTGGCGATCCTGGTTCCAAATAATTTTTTATAATAATGACATGGCATCTTATCATGTGCATTATTATTACATATTTAACTAGCTTCCCTATTGTTAGACTTTTCTCTCCTAATTCTTGTTATGTGAGCATTGCAGTGACAGAAATCCATTTTTGCAAAGTTGTTCAACTTTTTCTTTAGTATACATTTCTAGAAGTGGAATTATTGAGTCAAAGGATATATATATTTACATATACATTTACTTACATATTTACATATATATTTAGTATATTTAGTATAAAAATATGTATGTATTTAGGGATTTTGAGATACATTGCCAAATAGTCTCCAGAGAATAAATGTGTCCATTTAAATTCTCACCAGGAGTTTATGAGAGTACTCAAATCTTGGCTAATACTAAATTTAATTTTTCTCATTTCCCATGATCTTTACTCTCTAGTGAGATTGGGCACATATTATGTTTATTGACTATAAATAATCTCATATAGATTATCTATTTTTGTTTTCTGATCACTTTTTGGGGGGTGGTAAATTTTTATCTTTCTATTCTTTATTTTTGAGAGGCATTTAATAAGAATTTTAACCCCATGTCTGTCACATGTGGTGCTAAAGGTCCATTTTCAATCCTCTCCCCCCCACAATATGGATAATTAGCTGACCCAGCCCATCTATTATAAGTACTGTCCTTCATCCACAACTCGGCAGTGCTGTCCTTGTAAAAGATGAAACACCTGAGAGTGTGTGTGTGTGTGTGTGTGTGTGTGCGCGCGCGCTTATTTCTGGAATCTCTGCTTCTACTGGTCTGTATCTGTCCTGGTAACATCAGCACACTGTCTTAATTACTATCACTTTATAATATTTTGATATTAGAGAGTGTAGGTCTCTCCACTTCTTCAATATTTTCTTGGTTATTTTTGGTTCTTTGCATTTCTGTATAAACTTTAGTGTCCAATCCATCCATTTATTTAGGTCTTATTTAATCTCTCTTAACACAGTTTTATAGATGTCTGTGTAAAGGCCTTGTACCTCTTTCATTAGGTTTATGCTTAGGTAGTTGATGTTTTTCATGCTGTTAGAAATAGTAACATTTTCAAATTTCAAATTTCAAATTGATTCTTTATAGTATACAGAAAATATAATAGATGTAGTTTTGCAACATTGTTATGTTTTGTAACAGGCTTTATGATCCCCATTCCTCTGTTGGGGAAGCGAGGGTGTGCTTCTCTGTTGAGGAAGACCCCAGAAGTTATAGGTACTGGCTCTCAATTTGGTAACTTTTTATTCTTCCGTAGTTATTTTTAGCAGTATCTTGTGAACAGGAGAAGAGAAACCAGAAGAGTAAGTCATCCAAATATGTTGAACTCATAGCTGAAATAAGCTTAAACCCAAGGAAGTTCCAAGGACACCACAGCGGGAATTTATTCCTTCATGTTTTCATCATGGTGAACATGCTGCTGACATCCTGGTTGCATTAGGCATAAATGGACTTCTAAGCTCTAAACTTTTTCTAAATTCTCTAAAATTTCCCAGGTCTTCTTTGAAATATACCTTCAAATATATTGGGGTATATATATAAATATATGAGTGTATATTTTACATATAGAATATTTTTGTTTATTTGGAGATTGATAGATTTGTTTTCTGCCTTTGTACATTTCCAGATATGCTGTATACATATTGTTCTCTCTTCTGCACAATCTTTATACAATATAATGCATAAATGTTTAGATTTTGGGATTGCTAAAACAAACGTCCTAACAGCTCCTGGCACATTGCTTAATAGTCCTTTTTATCTGCCTTTTTATGTAATTATAGATTTTAGCATTTCTCAACAACAAATTCTCAATCACTTGACGGGTAAAACAAACCATTGACATAGGAAAAGATAATGGCTTTTATAAGAATATTTTATAGCACTTCTTATCTCTCAAGAAAGCGATGAAGCACAGCTGAATGGGAAATGCCAATCAAACAAAATCTCATG